CGCTGCTGGGGGTTGTTGTGGCCCAAGGGCAGCCCCCGGCATTTGGCCTTATTGAAACTCCCCCAGTTGGGCTCAGCCCATGGCTCCAGCCTGTCCAGATCTCTTGCATCTTCTGATCATCTTTTTCTGCCAGGCCAGGGAGGCTGTGAGCATGAATGGGAGCCCCAGGCATCATGGTTCTGGCTCTCTTGGTGCCAGATACAGCCTTCACTGGCATAATGGCTAAATCTGGATGGATCCCCACCACACTGCTGGGTGAAAGCATCTCTCCTTCCCCCTGGAGCCTTCAGGCTGCAGCAACCTCTCTGAACTGGGCAAGAGCCAGGAAGCTGGGCAGCCCGAGCCCTAAATCAATCCTACCTCAATTAGCGCAGGACTTTCATCAGCGCTCTGTTGTTTTTAAGCTCCAGCGATAAGAAATTTCAGTGAATATTTCAAACTGTACATAAACTACTGCCAACATAAACACTGTAAAAACACTCCCTGTAAATTATGCATCAGAGTTGACCCTTACTAGAACTATTAAAATTTTCTGGAATGGCTAAAATGTGCTGTGGGCTTCCAGGAGGTTTGAGGTTCTACAGCCCCAAGATCTGGGAGAAAGACAGCCATACAGTGCAAAACCTTGCAAGAAAGCAGCTGCTTGGAGCAGAGCTTCCTCCTCATTCTCCCACCTTGGGATCTCTGGGCAAGCTCTGCTCATAGAGGACTAAATAAATGAGCTCCACGCCCAGATGTGTTCTGGCCAGGGTGCAAAACCTTGCATGTGTTTGCTGTTAGACAGTATTTTTGAAGAAAGCTGCCTGCTTTTCCCTGCTGCTCTTCTGGCCTGGCTGCATCCATCTCCTCCTGTTTTCCAGGGTATCCCTCTCTGCTAGAACAGGTAAGAGTGAAGTTATCTTGCAAACCAGCTTCAGAAGTGCCCCACAGACCCTCACAGCTCATGCTGACCTTGAGGACTGAAGCAGGAGATCAAAACCTCCTGCATTTGCCACCAGAGCTTTCTCTGATGTCCAGGCAGAAACAGGCTTGGTCAAACCCTACAGCAACCCAGACAGCCAAGAAGGGGGAGGTCTGGAACATCCCCCATGCAGGGTCCAGCTCAAGATGTGTTCTCTTTGCCACGGATCCCACCTGCTGAAAGACCAGCAGTGCTGCAGCACCTCTGGCATCAGCCCCGGGACTGTCTCCCAGGCTGGGATTAAAGGAGAAGACACAGCCATTCTCCCCCTCTCCCAAAATCACAGTGGCAAGCAGTCAGTCTCACCACCCCAGGGGCATCCAGGGAAGCCTTGCTCTTCTGCTGGGGCTCCTCATCTCTCCACTCCCACGGGGATGCCGGGCAGGTCTCCATGCCCTGGCTGGGGTGGTGGGATGTCTCATGCTCCACTGGCATTTCCCACCAAACGCCATGTCCGTCCTGTGCAAACCTCTGGGTCCATTCAACCAGATGAAACTATGGCTGATCTCTTCTCACTTGTCTTCCCCTGACCCTGCAGCATGAAAAATGCTTTGTCGGAGGAGTTTGTAGCCTGAGAGTGAACACCTCCCATGAAGCCAAGACAATCACACAACAAAGCCCCACTGCAAGGCAGCCTTCCTCTGGGTGCCCTTGGAGAAGTGGCTATGTGAGCATTGAATTGCCACTCCGGCAGCTAGAGTATTGGCAAGCCAGCAGCCTTCCCACAGCCCCGGCACAACTCATGGGTTGTGGTATCTCAGATGGCCTAAATACCTACATGTGGGCAGCCCGGGGTGTCCCATATGCAGCCTGTGGAGTCGGGGTGCTTGGGCCAGCACAGGGTCCTGGCTCCACTGGTCTCCCCTTTCTTGGGGAAGCCAACCACAACCCCAGGAGGAGCCATGCTGTCACATGAGGTTCTTTCTACAGAAGGGATTGCTTTGCAATGCCCATGGTGTCATCTTTTCGCTCTCTCTTCCCCTCCTCTTCTCCAGCATTGCTTCCTTTTTATTAGCTTGATCTATTTTGACTTGAAGCTCTCCAGAACTGGGGCTGACTCACATCTTCCCCAGAGGCATGAGGTGCTCCCATCCCACCCTATCACAAGAGGAGAGCAAAGGGCTGCTCTCATGCTGTGGAAAGCCTCGAGGGACCTAGCAGTGCTTGCACAGGCCACCGGGTCACGAAAACACTGCCAGTGTGAGGGAGACATCATTTGCTCTTGCATCATGTCACTAGACAGTGGCTCCTCCCCAGGGCTTGGAGCAGACTGGCAGAGGGGAGCTGCCTGCACAGGAAAGGAATCGTAGAGAACCTTGTTAAGTATTTCTGTCTGGGAGCGCAGAGGAAAGGGCTGGGCAGAGCAGCGAGCAATACCATTGTCCTAGCAGGAAAAAAAAGAAGAAAAAAAAAAAAAAAAAAAAAAAAAGCAAACCCAATAAAAATGTGCCTGGAGGAATTCGGCTCAGCTTATGTCTGAACCAGCACAAGGTTTCCAAAGCAGAGGCTTCCAGATGCACGGCAGGGCGTTTTCTGGGCTGAAATCAGTGGGGAATGTCATCTGGGGTCGGGGGTTGGATTAACTCTGAATTGATCTGGAGGGTCCCACTGATAAGGAATTTAAGCACCCAAAGATGCTCAGGGCTGGGCAGGAGCTTGCAGCGATTCTTCAGCCCAGTGACTTGGCCACAACGAGGGATTTTGGGGCCATTTTCGCATTATTTTATCCATTTACACCCTGGCATCAGCCCATTGGTGGGCTCACACGTGCCATCTGCAGCTAGCTGCCTTGCTGGCCTCCACCCTGTATTTGGAAGGCATTTTGCACAAAGGACACACCTGTAAAGCTCTTGGCCGATCGTGTGTTTAAGAGTGTGTTAAAAGATGTGGTCAGAAATAACAAAGCAAAGCAGAAACACAGCCTTGGGAGACACCAAGATCCATCAGTCCTTGCTATGTTAAAACAGGTCTTACCTCAGGTAAACTCATCCAGAAATCCATTTTCTACCTGTCCCCTACAGTCCTGGGTTGCACCCTGCACACAAACTCCTTTATTTTCTCTTTTCCTGGCAGCAAGGAGCAGAAAGCAAAGCAGTTTATGTGGTCAGTCACCAAGATCTCCAAGCAATGGACCAGGTCAAAGGGAGCTGTACAGCCTTAAAAGTGAACTTTGTGCTTGGTTGGATGAACTTGGGTGGAAAAGCTCCAAACAAGCCATAAACTATGAGATCAAGCCCTCTGCAGTGCTGGGACCTGCAGAAACACTACATGCTAAATTCTGTGGTCCACATCTACAGTACATTACAGGGGAAGGAGGGGTTTCCTTATGACACACACCAAAAAAAATTTTCTGGTATTTCAGTATTGGACAACACCCAAGGATCGTCTCAGAAATAGCTCTTGTAGCTTGCAGAAGTACAAGGCACAGATTTCCCCGTCAGTGACATGCCCCTTTCTCCCATTCCCACCCGGGGTTGGGCCGGATTTCCTTCCTCCAACTTTCTAAGGAGGCTTTGGGCAGAGGACAGATTGCCCTCCTGTGGCATTTCAAGGGATTTGGGTGAAAGGAGAAGGTGCCTGAGGCCTCCTGAGACTCAAGGTGCTGCTCTTTGTTTCCCTCTGCCAGGAGAGCACACGGCTCTCTCCTATTAAGCACAGCTTAAATAAATTTATTAAGCCAAGCTCCTGTGCTTGATATAGATGGAAAAGGCATTTGGGGATGGGAGGAGATGGAGCCCCTGGGGTCAGTGAGAGAAATGCTTCCCTACAGCATGGGCCAGGAGGGCTCAAGAGGTGCTCTAGCCCCACTCTTACAGGATCCCTTTGGACAAATGCTGGTGGCAACTAAATTTGCTACAACTGTACCAGTGACCTGGAGGTAGGAAAGATGTAGCTAAGGGTCAACCATCAACCACAAGGAAGATCTTAGGGTTTCAGTGAGGATGGATCTGATAAAGACAATGAAAGCGCAATAGCATCTCTAAACAAGATTCATTTAAAGACCTAGATGTGTTGATAGAAGATACAAGTTGGAGAAGGAGATCTCACCCCAGAGGAGCATTCAGTGTGTTTGGTAGCCAACAGGACAGTTTTCTATCAAGGAAGGCCCATGGGCCAAGAAGATGAGGTCACCAAGGAGCAGGTTGTGAGCTGCCAATTCACTGCCTTCCCCTTGCCTCAGTTTCCCCAGCTGTGCAGGAGAAAAAGACATCTTTTATGAGGTGCTTTGAGAGGCAAGGATGAAAATTGTGCTCACATCCTTGGATATTATTTAAAAAACAATACAATACAAAAAGCACCTTACAGAGAACATAAACTTATCAACGGACCTTTTGTCCACAGGTTAGACACGCCAGCTGCAAAACTGTGTCTTCTGCTGGGGTAGGCTCCTACAGGCGCTGGTCTTTAAAGACCAGCTTCTGATGCATGAGCAGGTACCATCTAAGCTGATGCTCCAAAAACAAGCAGGCTGCAGACCCCAAAAATTTTCTGTGCAAGCAGAACTCAGAAATGTAACTCAGGGGACCAAGAGCAGGACCTGCAGGAAAACCAGACCCCAAAGCATCTTCCTCTTCCCACCTCTGGTGGCCTGAGATGAGGAGGAGGTTTGGGATGGGACTGGCTAGAAGATCCCAGAGCGCATAGGGGTTTCCATCAGGAAAAAGCTAAAACACCAGTGATTTAATGCCAGATTCCCTGGAGATGGATTTGCGCTGCCCTGTGCGATTGGAGATGACTTATACTGATATAAAGTGTGCACGAAGTGACACCAAATAGAAATATTATGTCTTCCCACCAGCAGAAGAGACAATATATGAATGTTAGGTTGCAGCAAATGCATTCCCCACCCAAGTGATGGGGAAAGGGCAGAAAATTAAGAGCAGGGGAGAGTGAGGCGGAAGCAGAGCTGGATTGAAGCGAAGGGAGGGGGGGGTCTGTGAAGTGCTGGGAATCAGCCAAGTTAAAACCATCCGGAAAAATATCAAAATAAAGCGTAAGGGAGGAAAAAAAACAACCCACAAAGCAAAAAGTAACATACGGAGAAGCGTTGGGCTCAGTCGTTTGCAAAAACATCCCATCCTTTCGTGCCGGGGTGTGCAGAGGCACAGGCAGCGCCCTGTCCCTGCTTGCTGCCGTGGGCAGAGCTCCCCAGCCGCTGCTTCTCCTGCCCTCCCAACCCCTCCAGACGAGCTCTCTTCCCGCTGCACCAGGCGGGAGACAGTGACGTGGAGACCTCCACAGGGGACGCTTCCTGAGACAGGAGAGCTCCTCGAGTCCAACGCTGCAAACCCATTGTTCCCCGGGACGCCGAAGATTTCTTTCCCTTTTTTTCTTAATTTCCTTATAAGCACCCAAAAAAAAGTTCAGGAAAAAAAAAACCCAACAACCAACCTGAGAACGCAGCGATGGTTTTGGAGCCAAGAGCAATGCTTAGGGAAAAAACAAATAATTCAAATAGTCTATGGGTTTAGGGCTAATAATAGCAAAAAAGGAGCTCCGAGGAGGAGGGGGGAGGCGGAAAGTGGAGGTGCTGCCATGGGATCAGAAATACTTCCTTCTTGTTTGGACTTTCTGTTCAAACAGCAAAAAAGAAAGCTGGCTGCAAACACGACCTGTTCTTACAGCTGCAGTGATATACTGCAGCATCAAAAACTTCTCCCCCCACCAATTTTTATGTCAAAGGGAACAGCCCAAAGCAGTGCTTGTCATGCAAATTGTACATTTTTAGTATTTTATGTTGGCCAGGGCGTTCCCCACCAGCCCCATCCCAGACCCTCTTCATCCCTCTGCTTTCTTCCCAGCCCTATTTTGCAGGGAAGGAGGACCAGCTGCAAACATCTGCAGATAACAGCTGGAAGGGAAAGACAGCTGGAAGAGGACAGAGAGGACATTTTCCTCCTCCCCCAGCCCCTCCTGCTCTCAGCCATAGGGTTTTGCCCCTCACGTAGGTCTCCAGTCAAAGATGGGGGGTGATGTTACCCAGCGCTCAAACACAACAAGCAGGATTAAGTAATTACCCGTCTGGAGGCTGTGACCTTTGACATGTTGTTATCTGTTCCTTCGCGTTGCCAGCTCGCATGATTTTATGGATGATCTCACAATAATTGATGTTTTCCTTAAAGGCCCCGTGCTACGAGGCAAGATTTGGCTTCCAGGAGTCCAAAATCAGCAAGGTTTTGCTCGCTACAATTCAAGAAACCCTCCAAAACTTAGCAAATCCAGGATGAAGATGGCTCTAAACCTTTAAAATCTGGTGGTTCTTCAAATCTCATCTTCCAGGGACCAAAGTTCCTGGGGATTTCTTAAGTAGCACCTGACATGTGAAACTACTCAAAATAACTTGTTTTTCCTGGGTTTAAGGAGAAGGGATATTCTTGCTCCCCAGCACAGATGGGATGGGGCAGACAAGTTTTCATCTTCTCATTTCATTTTTTCAATTTAGGGGAGGAACAAGCTGGGAAACAGACTGGTTGACCATGCAAGGGGGATGTGTTCCCTGGAGGGGTTTTCAAGAGGAAATTAGCTCATAGGATGCTCTGAGGATGGAAGAGGAGGGAGAAGGGAGGCATCACTACAGCACTTGCTTCTGCAGCTCGTGCTGCCCTTGACACGGTCACAAGCCAGAACTTCAGCCCAAACTGGAGGTTTTCAAGCAGATTTTGGGCAAGGAAAACACTCTCACCAAAAAATATTTAGGGAAATCCTTTTGTTGGTGCCCAGCTTGAAAACATCTTTAAATACGCTTCTAAATTATCTCAGCCTCATTGTTTTGGACCTGGTGCAAAGTCTCATTCAGCCTTGTTTAAAACAGTTTTGAGCAAAACCCTGGCTCTAAGTTTTAAGGGACTGCCCAGACCCTGAGTAGAGCTGGATCTCTGTAGCTTCAGCATATATTTAATATGAAACATTTTACAGGCATAAAAAGAAGACAGACAATTTGCATGGCTCTTGCTTCTGGCTTTATATATACTATATATGCAATATATTGAATGGCCCCCCAGGATGAGGAACAGAGCATCCTTTTGTCCCCAAATGCATATTTTCCTCCCTGTCAGTGATACCCGCTCGAGAGTCACGCATCAGTAAGGAAGTGGTTAGATGAGTCTTACCTTTCACAGCCAGGAAAAAAAGGTGCGCCTGGGCTGCAAGTCTTCACCGCATAACCGGAGACGTTTGAGGGGGGAAAAGCTCTGCAGCACAACCAGCCACAGCCCTGCAACAAAGCCAAGGAGGAGGCGATTATTCCCGGGCATCTCTCTGCCAGGCACAATAGGGCAGCGTTTCAGCACCCGTGCTCAATGCCATCATTGTCCCTTCCGGAGCTACGGCTCCTGTGTGTGGTGGCACAGGGTGAAGCTTCTGCTCCTCTGCAAGCTCCCAGAAGGCTTCATCCTACCACTGGAGAGGACCAGGAGACTTTGTTTTCCTCCTAGGGCAGGATAACAGACCTGGGGACAGGAGAGAGCTCAGTTTTGCCATGTCAACACCGTTACGCTACTGCCTGGTGTGAGGGTCCTATGAGAGAGGCAGGAAACAGGGTCTTAAATAAAATGCACCAGGAGCACAAAGGTGATGGGAAGACTGGGTTGAGATTGGGTGTTAACAGCTGACTGATAAAACAGAGCGACGCTCTGGGTGGTGTTTTGATCCTTCCAGGGACTTTGCATTAGGATGCTGCATCCAGTGGAGGAGCACAGTGAGGAGCTGGAGAGGGTCTGGTGGTGGCCATCAGGATGGTCAGGGTTGGTGAATGGGATGCGTTAGGGGAGGCTGAGCTGGGTCTGACCAGCCCAGAAGAGATGGGGAGTCCTTAACGATTAAGGGCAACTATTAATAGGAGGGTGGAGAGAAAACAAAGCCAAACTCTTCTCAGAGGCACCCAGGGACAAGAGAGGCAGGAGGTTTGCAGCCAAGATGATGAGAAGGCATGAAGAAAGATCATGCCTGTCTTTAGAAACACCAAGAGGTGCTGCAAGACCAGTGATATTTCTTCCTTATGACCATGGTGGATAGGACTAGGGTAATCAGCTTGGATTTCGGCAATAAAAGGATCAAAGAGCCCACAGATGCTACCACAGCCATGCTGTCTGCTTTATTTTTGCTCCTACCTGCCAGCCCTGGTATCTGCAAGTTAGGAGCAGGCCCTAAAGCCACTGGTGTGAAGCTGCAGTGTGATAGCCCTGAGGAGCAGCAGCACTCATGCTTCAGAGGGCAGATGGGGTGAAAAGAAATGTGGTGCATTAAAAAAAATAAATATATATATATATATATATAAAGGCAAATTAAATGTGGAAAATCTACTGTGATGGAGCCGGGCTGCTCCCTAGGGATGCTGACAGAGCATGGACAGCACTTGGGAGCCCAGGGCTGGGAGGAGGGAGCAGAAAGGACATTCAGCTCAGGTCTGAAGCCAGGAGGCTGTCTATGCTGGCCAAGATGACTGTAGTCCTTATGGCTTGCTGGCCTCCCCAGGTCAAACTACCGTAATAACTGGCAATCAGATAGAAAAAAATCAATGAAACATATGAGATCATCCTCCTCACTCAGGGGGACAGCCTGGCAAGCTCTCTCACCCCATGGATACTGGCCATGGCTCCCCAGGGAGAGTAATTCCCCCACCAGTGTGGGCAGTGGCACCAGTGTCCCCTCTCCACCAGGATCCAGGTGTTGCTTTTCTCTCTCGTCTGGGAGGCACCTGTGGGACCACCACCTTAAGCAGGGATGCAGCTCAAGTACCCTGCACTTCCAAAAAGGAAAAGTTATAAGCCTCCCCTTTTTCCTCATCCTAGACTCAAGTATATCTAGGTCAGCACGTTGCTGGTTTTAACAAGGGTGACTGGAGCATCTCACTTGACTTTCTGGAGAGCAGGGCTCAGTCCCCATCACCCCTGTGCTGGCTTTCCATAGGGAGCCAGGGACACCCCTTGGGGCTGGACACCCACCATGTAGGTGCTTTGCTTTTCGTCAGCAAGACTTGACTGATAACAAACAGAAGAAACCTCAGTGCTTCAAGGGGATGTCTGCAACGTAATGCTGGACTGAGGACTTGGCCACCGCAAGGCTGATGGCAGGGGGGCGGCCGCCCTGTCCTCTGTGCTCATTGGTCCCAGCTCCCAGGGGTCTCCTCCCCATGTGGGTTCACTAAAATAGTCCCCTCTATGGGGCAGTGAAATAAAATATTTAAATCCTTTGAGCTCAACCTGGGCACTGGCATTCTGCCTTTTCTGTCTCCTTTCTTTTTATCACCTCCTCAAATATCTGGCAGCTGGAATGGGGAAAGAAAAAGAGGGGAAAAACATCCTGTTCCTCCCTCCTTTAGTGCCTGGGGAGAGAGAAATCAGGCATCAGGACATCAGGAGGGGGATGCATCCCCGATTTCACAAGCATCTGATTGTACCAGTTGCCAAAGCACACAATCTGAATTGCAGATGGCTTCTGGCTATTTACAGGGCTGGAGCCACATTCTGGACAAGTGCAGTCACAGTTGCTATTGTAAGAAAAAGCTGAGCCTGTACTGGATTCCCCTCTTTTTGTCCATTTTTGGAGGATGGGAGCAGAGCTGGGCTCTAGAAATGGGGAGCTGCAGTATTCTGCCCCAGACGGTGCTCCTCACAGAACATGCCACCCTGTCCAGAGCCAGTCAGGTTTATGGATCAGCGTCCTGCGCTCTCCAGGGATGACACAGTTGCACATCCAGTCGATGAGGCTGACCCAAATACAGTGCCCAGCAAGGCAGGCACATCCCTGCTCCTGGCCCAGCTGCCAGGGTGGCCCTTATCCTCACAGAGCTAACAGAGCTGGAGACTCACAGCCCTTGAAGCTCCTCCAGCCCAACCATGAACCTCCCCCTGACCGTTCCCAACTCCACCAGATCCCTCAGCACTGGGTCAACCCGACTCTTCAACCCCTCCAGGGATGGGGACTCCCCCCCTGCCCTGGGCAGCCCATTCCAACGCCCAACAGCCCCTTCTGCAAAGAAATCCTTCCTCAGAGCCAGCCTGACCCTGCCCTGGGCAGCTTGAGGCCATTCCCTCTGGGCCTGGCGCTGGGGCCTTGGCTCCAGAGACTCATCCCCCCTCTCTGCCCCCTCCTGTCAGGGAGTTGCAGAGGGCCAGGAGGTCTCCCCTCAGCCTCCTCTTCTCCAGACTGAACCCCCCCAGTTCCCTCAGCCGCTCCCATCAGACCTGTGCTCCAGACCCTGCACCAGCTCCGTTGCCCTTCTCTGGACACGCTCGAGTCATTCAATGGCCTTTTTGGGGTGAGGGGCCCAAAACTGAACCCAGGAATTGAGGGGCGGCCTCACCAGTGCTGAGCACAGGGCTCAGATCCCTTCCCTGTCCCTGCTGGCCACACTAGTGCTGATACAAACTCCTCCTCTAGCAGGACTCCTACTCCTACAAGCACCTTGGAGCATCACATACCAGCTGGATGCTCCCCAGTACCCTGTGCTAGAGAGAAAACTTGATACTTACTTCCCCATGACTTGCTTTCAAGCAGCAGCACAGCCAGAGAAAAGAAGCCCTGGAGAAGCAATGTCTTGACCGAGGAGTGCTGGCATGGGTTGGGTTGGGTCCCACCAGGGTCAATTAGCCCTAGTGAGGTTTATTAGCTGTGGTTTTACGGGGCCTACCTGTTGTCAGTGTTGGTGGTGCTGGTTGGTGTCTCAGCGTAAGGCAGCCGCAGCTGGTACGTGGTGGTCACCTTGCTGTCCTGTGGAAGAGCACAAAAAGGGCATCAGCACACCTGGCCAGGGACCACATCACCTGGCAATCAGGGTAGGGACCAATCTCAACTGCTGCCCCATAAAAAAAAAAAGCTCACAATCTGGAACAGCTGGATCCCTCAGCCAGGGAAAGCCGACCCCAGCCCATGGTGGGTTGGGAGCACCAGCATGTCTCAGCCCACGGCTCCACTGCAGAGGGATGACCCTAGGGAGAGGGATGACCCCCCCAAACCCCCTGCAGTAAGGCGCTCTGATCCTGTTTGAGGCCTCGCAGGCTGCTGGAGAATTTCCTAGAAGAGGTTTGCTGCATGCTGATGGAAATGCAAACACTGGATATAGCAGGAAAAAAGTGGGTTTTGCCAGAAAAGCTGGTAACCTGTGGCCTTGCACCCCCAAGCTCGGGCCAGGCAGCACTAACCCCACTGATGTGCTGAGCGAACTCTCTGGAAGGTCCTAAATATATGCAAGGAACCCAGGCTAGCTTGCAATAAGCTTTTTCCTCCCCTGATAACTTCTGACAGCACTCAGGTCATTGTAGCCACAGCTTTATCCATCACATATCATCCCCATGCACCAACGTGAACACATCCCATCACATCTTCGTACCTGGGATGCTAAATCCCAGCGCTGGAGATCAGAAGCACACACACAGACCAAGCTGGACACTAATGGGGCAGCAAGAAAACCACAGTTATTCTTGCTTCTTTTTTTCTTGTTGCTTATTTTACATGCTGGCTGCCCAATTATTTCCCAGGCTGGCTCTGCCCCGCGGTGCATTTTTGCAATTGCACAGAAGAAAACTCAAAAATCAGGACTACCTCCGAAAGCACTTGAGATTCCCAGAAAAAACACTGAGGGAGAAATTCATCCCCACAGTCCCATGGGGCCAGGTGACAAGATTTTGGGATAGCTAAATAAAACCACATTTGACAGTGTTAGCTCCCTCTTGACCTCATCTTGCTCACCTTCACTCCAAAATGCCCCAAACCTGTTGGTTGGTATGTTCAGCATTCCTGCCTGGAAGATCTCCTAGGTGGTCCCCCAGGACCAGCATCTTAAGTTACAGAAAATCCCTGGCAGGGAGACTCCTGTACCCTCACTTTGTCACAGTCTGATCCCTGATCCCAGCCCCACCTCGAGCACTGGGAGACACCATTTCTGGTTGTGTAGGACCCTGAATTCAGCAGCCACTGCAACTGTGATGCTCAACAAGGTCCTTGCCTGGCCCAGGGATGTGGGGATGGTGGCATCCCCAACAAGCCGGTACCAAAAATACAGATCTAGGAAGGTATTTGTGTTTGCAAATGCAATTCATCAAATAGACATCCCATTTCTGAGGATGCAGAAATTAAACTCATTCCAACAGGTGCCTTCATGCACCCAGTTATGAGATTGGACGTGCAGTGTGGCCCTTCCAAAACGCCAAACACAGAGGAGGCAATACTGATAGCTACCAGAAACAAGTTGCAAGGGATGCTCAACAGCCCTATCACCCACTCAGTGACCAGCCCGGCTCCAGCAACCCCACTCCTGGTCCCTCCACCACCCATTGCCATCCCAGTGGCCACCCTGTCACCTCACGTTAGTGCCGGGCATCCAGGCGTTCACTGCTTCGCTCTGTCAGACACAGCGGCAGCTGCCAAAAGCAGGTCACCCAATATAGGGTGGGTTATTTACAGCTTCCCTCTGTGTTACCACCAGGAAAGGGGGGGACACAAGTGATCTAAACGACTTTTTTCCCCCCCCCCTCCCCATTTTCCGAGTGCTGCCAAAGGGCTGAAGCACTGTCCCTGTTTGCGGATAACACTCACCTCTCCTGGAGGGGCAGCTGGAGGCTGGGCTCGGGGATAGCAGCGGCGCAGCTCCCAGGGCGTTGGCAGGAGGGCTGAGCAGGCAGTGGCTGGGCATTTCCATCTGGTGATAGCTCTGTATGTGTCCCACGCGGTGGCTGGAGACCCCCGACTGAAGCCAGCGCCGTGTCCTTCACCTCTTGCGTTTTGCCGCTCGGCAGCGTGGGCCCCCTTGTGCTTTCCTGCTGTCATTTCTGCCATCTAGAGGGGACGTTTCCCCATTGCAAACGTGTCCCTCAAATCATAACGAAATCCGATTCATTAAAAAAAAGAAAAGAAAAAAAAAAAAATCACAGTCCATCACTTGGCGCTGCAGGAAGAGCCTGGCCACTGCGATTCACACTGTCGGGGGCGGGGGGTGCAGCTGGGTGTTGTGAAGCAGGTATCCCCCAGAAAATGTTTGGGGAGCATTTTCCTGGCAGTTTAACCAAAATTAGAACCTTGCCACAGGAAACTCAAGACAACAGAAAGGATTTCAGAGTCTAGACTAGGAAAGATTTAACAGCCCAAGTGAGGTAAATGATCAAAATAATTATCAAATCATCCTTCTGAATGCAAGCAAAGTATTAAAAGGGTTTCCTGAGGTCTGGTTCTGCTTGCTGATATTCATAATGTGGAGGATGGCACTTAAGTTAATTGGGAGGTGGCCTGGACCAAGAGGTCCTGTAAGTGTGCTGGAGCAGGGCGGCTGGGTAAATCAGAGATGGGAGATGAGCAACCTGGTCTACTAGAAGGTGTCCCTGCCCATGGCAGGGATATTGGACTGGATGGTCTTTAAGATCCCTTCCAACCCAAACCATCCAATGATCTGTGATATGAAGAGGATGAAACCCCATGGTCGAGTTTAAGGTACAACCATGCTCTGATAAAAACGAGGCTTTGCCAAGAAAATATCACAGCCCGGCATTGCACGGTGCAGCCGTTCAGTCTTGGCTGGGTTCATTTTAGGGGGAGGCAGCTGGAAGCCAGCACCGGTGGGACGGCGGCTCTGCCGGACTTGCCATTTCTCAAGGATCAAACACAAACCCCGTGTCCTCCAGGCTCTGGCACAGGTGACCCCGCCAGCAGCTGTGCCACAGCTGTTCCTCCCCTGAAGCCCAACACCAGTTTAACCACCTGGAGGCACCAGTTGCAACACCGCTCCTCTCTCTCCCACACTTACCTCTGGTGAAGACTGGGGTGCTTTGAGTACAGGGGCTCAGTGAGGAACCAACCTCTCCAAGGAGGCTCAGGATGCGACCTGCTGGAGGGACCAAAGGGCTCAGAAGTTACATGAAAGCATCATGGTTAACACTGAAGTGAAGGGTGAAGCATCCTTCCATCAGGCAGAGCTCTCTACATCTCAGGCCAGAGACTAGTACAAGGGACAGTGGCTACATCAAGGGAAAAGACCCTAGGAAAAGGGATTTATTGCTGCCCTCAAGCATGTCAACCAAAAAAGCTGCACAGCTTGAGAAATAAATCTTTTCCCCCACATCTTGTCGGTACAAAAGCATCTAAAAAATCTACCTTGGTGAACAAGTACACGTAAATTACAATATTGCTGCCAGAATGGCAGAGGAAGAGAAGCTCACAGTAGTTTTCCCTCAGTAAAAAAGGGCAGTGGATAGATCACATCGTGCAACCACTCCCTTCTCCTCTCGGCTTATTAAACAAACCCATGTGTTGACAAGGCCTTCGGTTGGAGCAGCAGAGCTGTGCCTGCTCTGCCACCACGACATAGCCCAACACCGCAGAGGCTGCGGCCAGCAGGCACAGACCCACAGGTGCACCTGGAGGAGCTGCAAAAGGAAGCAGGAACCAGAGGGAGCAAGAGGATGCCGACACTGGTGACATCAGATGCCAGTAAAGATGGGAGCGCCTTGGTCCGCAGGTGGAAACGGGGGTCACATCAATACAAATCGCTCCCCTTTATCGAGTGGCATTATCTGGCACAGCATGTACCTCCACAAATAGTGCAGTGGGATCCCAAGGCACACGCTGGGGCTGCAGCTGACCAGACAGCTCCTCTACGGCCTCGCTGAACAGCTCTGCCCTCTGTCTGCACAACTGCTCCCAAAGCATCCGCCTGCGGTACAAACCTGGGACAGCACACGCTGGGTGTGTGGCAAACAAACACAAGTGTCACCGAGTTTTGTTTTCTTTCCTTTTAATAGAAACATCTTAGAGTAACTCGGGAGAAGGATCAGCCTAAAGGGAATGTCTCTCGAAATAAAACAGTGTGACGTGCTTCGGGAATCATGTGCAAAGGTAAAATGTCCAAGGAGGGTCAGCTCATGGCTTCCTGGATTCTTCAGTCTTCTTGATTTCCTGCAAGGAGATCAGGAAAACAACTGAGCATCTGTCATTCTTTGGGAACAACCCATAGTTTCACAGCTCTGGAGACCACAAGCAATCATCTCCTCAGATCAGCTCCACAGCATTACGGGACCAAGCCCAGAGTTTACACACTTTGGGGACAAGGCAAGGTTTGATTTAGAAGCATTTCAAAGCCAGCATACCCCTTTCATTCCATCCAGGGACATGTGTTTATTTTGCTCCTACCCCAGTATCACACTGAACCCATTTCCCGCTCCCAGGCATCATCACTCATACTTGATCTGTGCTCAACTACGTCACTCAGCGACTCAAACCAGATCAAGTGGAGGCATGAGGTGACATTTCTGTGGCTGCCTATAGACAGACCCTCACCGGCTCAGCCTGGAGGTCATGCCTACACAGAGAGGCAGAAAAGCCCCAAAACTCACCTCCAGGAGCATCTCCTTCAATTCGGAATAGGCTTTTTCTAAATCATCATTAATAATGACCAAGTCAAACAGGCCAGGCTCTTTACCTAGGGAAGGAGACAAGGAACAAGGAGTTAGAGAACAAGTTTCTTCCCTGTGTCATCTCTTGTGCACCACCGGAGTTCCCGTGGCATTTTAATATTATTATTTCAGCCACTACTAACATGCTTTTCCACCAACCGCCCACAAGGAACTGCAGTGGGAAACAATGCAGCATGGAGGTTAGATCAAACTCAGCTACCGTCCAAGCCCTACCAGCACTCCTTGGAGAGCACAAGTCAGATGTTCACACAAAAAACAGCTCCTAAATCACCATCCCCTCTCCCTGCACGTATCAATTGAAGGCACTTGGACTTACTAAGTTCCAGATCTACGCGGGCTGCAGTCAAACGCTTCAGTAAACTTTCTTCTGTTTCAGTCTTTCGGTCACGTAGTCTTTTTTCCTAAACCCAGTGACAAACATGTTAAAGAAATGTGTGTTCCAAATGCTGCATGTAGAAACCCCTACCCACCCCACAGGCCAGTGCTGTCTGCCGTTTGCTACAGCTGACAACCACGGGCATGCAAGATAACGCTCTGCAAGGGGCGAGCAGCCTCATTTACAGCCCAGCACAAACCAGAGCAAAAAGATGAGTTTGCACTCAAGATCTCTTACCAGGTTCCCAGTCTCTTTTTCCCTCCCCCATAAGCTTTTTTTTTTTCCCCAGGTACTGATGGGAGATGAAACCTCTCTGCTGGGCTCTGGCATCTGGTGCTGTTGGCTTTCTCCTCCACAAACTGAACAAGAAACACAGACTGCCTGATCTACTAAGAGCAAGAGGGGAGAGCCAGGAGTCGTGGCCTTCGCCGCCATGTACTCCTTGCATGGCTTTAGCAAGTCTCATACACGTGTTGACACCCCTCTCTGGACCATGACACTTATGCGAGAGGCACACTGCAATCATTATTATATAGGGCCCTGTAAAACCAGAGGGGTATAGGATTTCTGGTACTGCAGAGAACCAGCCACCCTTGGCTTAACTGTCATTGCTGGAGGCAAGCCTCAGCACAAAAACCTTCTCTCCCCAGCATTAAGCACAACTAAAGTATTTAAAGATTGACCATGCTGCGATGGAGCCTCTAACCCAGTGAAGGCAAACACACCAAGGCATGGAAGCTGCACAGGAGGGACGCAAGAAACAGTGCACAGGAAGATTTATCCCTGGGAGCTGGGCAGAGATAACAAGTGTGCTCAGAAATGTCCTTCCCACCTATTCTACTGCCCTTAAAAACACACAGATGAAACAAGAAGGGAGGAACCCCCACGGCTTCAAAGCAAGACGCTGATTACCTCTAACTGCCTAACGGCAAAGGAAGGCGGTCGCTCACCAAGATGTCCATGGATGGAGGCTGCACGAAGATGTAGATAGGGTTCAGGTCTGTCCTCTTGATGTTCTTCACACCCTGGATGTCAATGTCAAGGATGCAGATCTGGTTCCGGGCCTGAACAGCCTGCACTGCACCTTTACTGGGGACAGAACAAAGAGGAAAGGTGTCAGAGCATCCAGCCACAGCAGTGGAGGTTTGGTGCATCACCATCCAGCAGCAGGTCTTCACCTCACAAGGCTCCCCAGTGCCCAAACTGTGGCAGGAGAGAAAAGAAAGCCTGCTCTGCTCTTGCTAAGCAGTCTCTCCAAGTGTTCTCTGGGTCCCTGGGGTGGAGCAGGGACCTGCTGTCTCCTGCTAGAGAGGCTGGCAAAACCATGATGGAAGGTGTGGGAATAGATAATGTGTGACTATCCACGATCAGTGTGGCTCAGGTACAGTCCGTAAAGCTCCTGCCTTTGACAAACACAGGAGCAACCCTCACCAAAGAGCAAACACACTGGTAACTTTTCTTCCCCAGAGATTTCTGTATGCATGCTGGAGGATGCTTAATGGAGATGGATGCTCTGCCTGGATTGAAAGATGCACAATTAAGAAAATATTTTTTAAGTGGCAGTTCTTGTATGTCGTTAAAGATGGTATCTCTTCCCCAACACAGGGGAATTGCCTCGAGCTTGTTCCTGAACACTTACAACTCTCCCTTGAAAAGCAGCAATGTCAACCCTCTACCAGAGCAATGGAGGTACCTGGACTAGTTACTGGGTAGCAGCCCTCCTGGGGGACTTCTCAGTCAGTGAAAAGTCACAGATTCTCCAAGCCAGGGCTCCATGGCATGATGGAGAGTGCAGAGAGAAGCCATGACAGAAACTCAGATGTGGCACTGCAGGTTTTGAGACCACGAAGTCAGGAGGTCATGCAATGGCAGCAGAGATTAAAAGAAAATGCTGCCCTACAGCCAGCCTCCAACTTGCTTGATTCCCTGCCCAGACCCAGGGCACCTCTCTGGACCTCACCTCGTTACCCTTCACCACCAAGGTTTGCAACCTGATGCCTTCTGCAAAAAAAATAGACTCCCTTGAACAAATGCTATTGTGTTGTCCTACACCCCAGAAAGGGGAGTCACAGCTCCAGTGAATCAAGATTTGTGACCCCCAGCTTTCCTCCCACAGCTTGCACCAGCCCTGCTCCTGGCTGTGCCAGCTGGAGAAGACAGGGAAAGCAGCCACAGGTGTCACACAGCAGCTGCTGTTGGCAGGGTGTGAGCAGAGGAAGATGTGACAGCACAAAGAGCCCCAAGCCCACGACTACCACAGATAGACAATGGCTCACTGCAAACACAGCTGGAGAGGACAGAGACAGCCCGAGCAGAAGGTGCCTCTCGGAGGAGTAGGGAGCAGAGGCAAGATGGAGAAAGCTGTAAAAACTTCTGGGAGCTTGCAAGCCCAGAAAAGCCCCCACGAACAGAGGTGAGCTATGAAGCAGTTTGAGTGACACTGTGAGCTCCTCAGCCTGGACAGTGGGGAACAGCAAGCAGACAAGCACCCTCAGGGTCCCGCAGCCAGTCTGCTGAGTGCAGCAAGGTCCACTGCCTGCAGAGATGCTCCTGTGATGGAGTCATGGAGGTGGAGGGGGCTGGTGACCTTCCTCCTGACCTGGGAGTCCCACAAAACAGGCCACAAATGCCACAAGAAGGAGAAAGCTGAAGCGAAGATGCATGACCAGCACTGTGCCAGATAAAAATACAGAGGCTTTGCCCTGGTGGGCAGCCGTGAGAGCCCAGATTTGAGCTTTATCCACTGCAAAGCCACAAAACCTCCCCAGAACAGCTTCACTTGCCATCTGGTATTACCAGGTATCAACTAACTCCTGCTATAAACAATCTACAAAGAGCCAGCAGCTATCAGAGCCCTGAGAAAGAGACCCCATGCCTGCACTCTGATTTCAGCCTCTAATTTAAGGCAACTTCAAAGAAGTCCTGGTTTCTGTGGGCAGGGCTCAGCACTATCCCACAGACAGGGACCTTTCAGGGCTCTTAAGCAATTAATTTGTAGTTACTCATTATTAGCTGGTGAGATTTAGGGAGCAGAAAGGATTGGCAAATACTTCAACTATTCTGATAAGCATGAGGGACTGCCTCCACTTTATCACACATCTGATCAGAAACATCCTTAGGTACTTATAGATAAAACATAAGCTTGGAGAGTTTCTGTATTTGTTTTGTTTGCAAACAGGTATTGTTGGGATGGTTTGGGCTCATTTCAGCCTCCCACCCTGCATGCCCACCACTGCAGGCAGTGTAATATGCAGAAGGGACTGAAGATGAAAGTGAGGGTCAGGGAGAAAAGCACCTCAAAAAATCAAACCCAAGCACATAATTTGATTCAAGTACTTAATTCCTGCAATTTTCATAGAAATTGGCTGAATTGAGGAGAGATGTCTTTCCAGCACCCACCCTGAGGAAAAGGCACCAAGATCAACTCCACTTACATATCAGGCATCAGAAAGCAGGCATATCCTCCACACTGTGGCTAGACTGAGCAGGACACATGGGAAGGAAGCCTGGCCTATGCAGGATGAAACCAGGGATTAAGGAGCTTGAACTCAGTTTCTCCTTGGTGCTGGGTGTTTGGAAGGTGAGCCATCAGGTTTTGTTTCTCGTGCTAAACCAGTGACACTGGAGGTACGAAGGCGAGGGCAGAGGACTATGCCCCTCCATCAGCCTCAGAGGGAGCAGGGCCAGACCCCTGCAAGGCTGCCCTAAGCTGCGGTGACACTAGAACAGCCGTGCTGCTGAAATGCAAAATCACCAGCCGTTCCTTCTGAGCTCAACACCACACCTGCAGCACGTTCAGTCTGGGGGACTTATGATGGCACCTCCCCTGAGGAAATCATCCTCA